AACCTGCAAGAAAATGATTTGACACAAAGGGTTCCAAAATGTCCTCCTCTCCCCCTACAAGCCTGCAAACAAATGGTACAGGAATGAGGTCAGAAAGGAATCCCCGCCTACCAGGCCGCTGAATTCATTTACCTACCTCAGAGCCCATTCAGGGAAAGGGGTGGGACAGGGAACAAGAGATGCTTGGAGGCCAAGTGGAGTTTGGGGGTCGAGCGCTACATTACAAGATTTGACAGGCCTTTGCCAGCCTTCAGCTTCTTTGTGTCTCTCACATAATAGAGAAACACAAACTGAGCAGCCCAAGATCTGTGGTTACACCCTTGGACAGAGCACACTCTTTGCAAATGCTAATAGTATTGTAGCATCCTGTCACCCAGGAACACAAAAAAGGATGTTGATTTTCACATGAACCAGAACAGGCCCATTGTACACAAGTTTGTGACCAACTTGTAGTATCTGCACATCAAAAGTCCAGCCAATCATAGAGTACACAGCTGGTGAATTGTATCAAAGGGGGGTGCCCAACGAGAACATCCAAGTCCAAATGCTTCATTCCACCAATAGGGTACCATAACATAGTACTTTTGACATGAACAAAAATTACACTCCACAATCTTGATTCAGCTATAACCATAGTAATTACAAGAATGTAAATGTGTCAAATGTTTAGAAAGAAGAAACAATGTGTGGAAATGGAAGTGGTTTTGTGCCTGGGCCCACAGTCTCTCAAATGGCAGAGGCAGCAAATGTCAGGGATGTTCAATACACACTCATTTTTGAGGTATTCTGAAAAGATAAACTCAGGATCCTGAGTTTTGGCAGAAAAGTAGCTATTTCCATTCTAATAGCCTTGGGAAGCCAGACATATCTCAAGGCAAGAAAATTAAAGAAGAAATGTATATAAGATTTCTGGAAATAAATTTAGTTGAAATTATAATGGCTTCTACTAATAACTTTCAAAAGGGTTAGATTTATTGGACAAACGAAGACAGTCAAAAGGAATAATTTGAGAAAATCAAATATTCAATCAAGGTTTTAAAAACTGGGATAAAAGTAATTGTTTCTTAACAGGGCAATTAAAAAAAAAACTAAGAGGCTCTACATGGGTAGGTGAGAATTAAGAGAAATTGCAAAGCACTAATTTTTACTCCTAACACTGAAGGCCTTTCTTTGGCTGACATAAACTTTTAACTCCCGAATCTCCAGTAGGGCTGCACAAGGAATCACATCTTTGTTGGTAATTCCATTCTTGCAATGCAACAACAGCTTTGTACAGTTAGGGCTATTTCTATTATTAAATGAGCTCATTTTGCCCTTTTTAGATGCATCATGTGCCCTGACGGAAAGCATTCCTGATAGCATAAACATTACCTTTCCTAAAAGTATTTCTGGAAGGACAGTGCATTTCAGAGAGTACACAGGTTTGTAATAATACTACTTATGATAAAGGATGCAAAAAAACCCCCCCAAAAAACAAAAAACACCCTGGTTTCTTTGCTCTGGATTCAGATTTTCTACTTAACTCCAACATTTCAAAAGAAAAGATAAAATTTCCATAGGACTAATTTGGCAAGATAGAATACTGAGAGTTAAAAGGCTTCAAGGGAATTTCTAGACCCCCAAATTCTAATGGCCAGTTATAATACTCCTCTTTGTTTTCTCAGTCCAGCTAAGACTTTCTGGAGCTTCGTAAGGATGTATTCATACTCCAGGAATGGCTGCAAACTTTTGGCACTTCTCCACATCCTTCCTCCAAACACACATAAGACTGACAACAAGAGGTGCCTGATGTGCCTCTTGATGTCAGTCTTGCTCATGGCAATGAGAAGGCAGGCTCACCATTGTCACTGGGTGTATGCTATTTGTGTCCTTGAGACCTCGATATGGTGATTTCTAGTTATATAAATTAATTGTAGAAAAAGATATATTTGGCATGCAAGGGGATAGGCTGTATACACCATGGCAAACGTGAGCACTTCCAACATAAGTTCTCTAGACAAATACATTTTTTCCATATTTTTAATTGGTACATTATATTTATACATAATGGTGGAGTCTTTGTGACAAATACATTTCTTAAAGGAGAAATGACATGACATTTTGCTAATGATGGAGGATCAATTCTGTATTAAGATGTATGGAGAAGAACGTAAATGACAACAAAAAAATGGAACATAGACTATGGGAGCAGAAAATGGCTGGGTTCATTCTTTCAGTTAAGAGATAAACTAAATGCAACATTTCATGGCACCTAAAGCAAGGAAACTGGTAAGATCTTGTATTCTCAAGGTCAGAAGAAAATAAGTATATATATAAAATCTGTTAGAGGAGGAAACTCTGCTGGCACAAAATTATCCAGTAATCCTGACATCAATGAACTTAAGTGATAACAGATTTATTAGACTTTTGCAATATACTTTGTATTTCCTTCAAATAGATGCATCATATACTAGTACTATTTGTTTGTGGAAGTCAAGGACATTAATATTAGATAAAGAGGTACTAGGTAGGTAGTCCAGATAGTATTGCTTTCTGATGATTTGGCCTGATTCTCAAACTTTAGTGAAACAAGAAGTTGAAATGAACCTATTCCACACAAATTATTTCACAAATATTGCAGGTCTCATGAGCTTTGGTTAAGTATGAGATCATGTAAGCCATAGTGAATAAAATTCTTATTTCCATATCGTTCCTCAATGATTCAGTAACTGTAAGAATAAATTCTGCTTTGAATATCATAAAGTGCAATGTGTATTCCCAACAGAGCAGATCTATAGAGATCTATCTCTGGGCTCCTGCTAACTAGGTCTTCAGCAGTGCCTCTTATCTCATTCTCAATTCCTTGAGTTTACACCTGGGTTAATGAATAAAAATACAAACAAGAATTTTTTCTTTATCACGAAAGACAAAGGAACAACTTTGATTTAAAACCGACTAAAAGCAGTGGTTAGCTGGATGTGGTGGTGCATGCCTGTAATCCAAGCGGCAGGGAGGTTGAGGCAGGAGGATTCCAAGTTTAAAGTCAACCCCAGCAACTTAGTGGGACCTTAAGAAACTTAGCAAAACCTTCTCAAAAAAAGCAGGGGTGGGTGAGTGGGTCCTGGGGATGTGGCTAAGTGGTTAAATGTCCCTGGGTTATATCTCCTTATCAATGACTTGACCCTAAATGAACCTTAACACTGGCCCTACAGAATGTGAACATCACTCACAAATAATCTTTCAGAGAAGGACTATGTACAAACTCCCAAGTTTTAAGCTAGGAATTTTGTTATTTTAAGAAACAGGTTTAACTTAATAACTTATGATATAGGTATGTCTTACCCTCAGTTCTTCAGGCTCAAGATCACCCAGTTTACCTGATATTGTCCTACTTTATTTTTCTTTTAAATATATTATTAGTTGTCAATGGAGCTTTATTTATTTATTTATTATTTATATGTGGTGCTGAGAATCAAACCTATTTTTTTAAACAATTTTTGCAGTACTTGTCTTAACCCTCAAGTTTTCCATATTTATCAATTTAGTTTAATGTGTGTATAACATGACAATCCTAATTATCATAAACTGGGTATGTGATTATTTTAAAATACTTTGTAACATGATACATCATATTTGTATATGGTAGTTACATTAATTCTGAATTGAATATGCTAAAAGAAAATATAAACTGCTCTTATAAGTTTTCAGTAACTAAATACTTCAAACTTCTTGATATATAAAGATTCTGAACTTGAACTACACAAAAGATTAAGAGCTAGCATGATTGAAACTTATCTTGCCTGTGCACCTTCCAAATGAATTTTTTTCTTTAATTTTTAAAAAGGGTATTGACATTTATTGATCAAAAATATATTCTACAACTACTGAGTCCTAGTTATTGAAACAATCATGACTTCTGAGCCTTAGTAAACCTCATATACGACTGAATATGTCAGCATCACTAATGAAAATGATGGCCACGGCAGCAGAATGCAATTATAAAACATGTTATATATTTTACCAAAAAAACAACAAAATGCTTTGACAAGTATTGAGATATGGAAAAAAAAAACTTCACCAGTTGAAAATGGTAATATTATAACTGTGCAGTGTCAAGTATGTGGAATTTAAGCTTTCGTGTAAAGTATGTGGAATTCAGCTACATTTGTTAGACCATGAATTTGGTTACACTACAGGGTTCCTCATTAGAAACAAAGAAGATTTTTAAAAAGATGCTCTTCAATAATAAAATTATAATGTGATTTAATTATCTTTTAATTACTTATCTACACAAATGACCTTAGATCAAGCACAGGCAAAATATAAGTTGCAACAACATCTACAAGTAGTATGAGGTTTTTAAAAAATAATACAAAGTTCATTCACAGTGCACAAGTGAAAAACAAGCTTTAAATATTTAAATAACACATCACCATGATCATTCAAAAGGTGAACACATTTTTAAGCATATTTCCATAATGCTAATATATCTGAAAGTAAAATACATATCAGCCTTGAAAATTGAGATAAAGACCATTACTATGATCCCACTTATTGAAGAGAAAACACCAAGTTTGTTTTTTCAGGTAAATATCTAAAATAAATACATACAAAATTATTAACTAGCTAAGGAATTCATCTTTAAAACTCATACACTGAATCTTGTATATGAAATTCCCAAATTGTAACATTAGGAAGCAAAACTCTCCACAATGTTTCCTACTCACTTTTACATTATTGGTTCACATTTGGTCACTAAATAATTTATGTGAAGGAGTCCTTCTGAATAAAGCCTGGAAAGCAGGGTAACACAAAGAGAATTTAATTAAATGACAAGACAGGCTGACTGCTCTGCCTGTGACTATGGCCACAGTCAATTTGACAGTGAAGAGCAAGAGCTGCACCACTTGCTTCATCTATACACACCGATTAACATCCTGTCCAACTAATTTTGGCTATCATCTGTTTAAAATTCTTCAGCCTCCATACAAAGCTGTATTCTCCCCATTTTTTGAAAATTCTGACATCAAACAAATGATTTCTTGTCCTATTTGTCTTCACTTCTGCATACTGAATATCTGAAATTATTTTTTTACCTTGAATTTCAATCATTTTTAATTTTTGAACTATAGACACAACACACAAGATTTACTGTTGAGACTGAATTTTATTTTTTTCTCTTCACAGCATCTGCATTTAATAAATACCTGTTTTTTGAGGGCGGGGGAAGCATATTTAGTGTGAGATCAGCTAAAATAAAAAAGAAAAGAAAAAACCATGAAAGAAGCCAATTTTAATGAAGGGGACAGATAGGAAGAATGTCAGTATTCATATGGGATTGTTAATAATACGTTTTTATGATCTACTTAACATATTTAAGTTATAATATTGATCTCCTCAAAGAAGCCGTTTCTTTGTCCCCACCACCATTTTTAAAATTTATACACATGGAAGTGATAAAAATTACTGCCTAACAAGAGGGCATTTCTTTTCCCCCTCTAAAGTTCACAGTAACAAATATGGTCCTATTTCTTTCTTTCTTTTTAAAGAAATAGGTGTGCAGTTGTAAGGAGTGTTTTACAACTTCATGAATATTACCATTGCAAGACATCTGCTTCAGTGAGGGGTTACCTACCTATTGTAGCTATAGGTAGTAGTAGAGGTAGAGGCTAGCTAGAGTGTTCAAGCAGTGAAGCCATCTCCTAATCCTTGTATAGAGCATCACAAAGTTCACTTCCTTTCTGCTGACCACTGTCCATAGGCCCCCCAAAAACCACAAAATGCTTTTGACTACTCATCTGCAAAATAACAATATGTATACTGCTGCTAGCTGCTAAAAATTGGATCTACTTTTCTTATCAAACAGTGTAAAGCAAATATTCACGGAATTTCTAGTTTCTGAAATATTTTGTGATATTCTCCAACTCTGTATATGAGGTGTCATATCTTGAGGGGTTATCAATTTTTCCTGATTAAAAAGAAAAAGTGGGAATTGGGCAAAGGAATTGTTAACAAGGGAATTGTAACAATTCCAAGAAAACATAAAACTGTAGAATAAAAACTGTTATACAATGGGCATTTTTATTAGCATAATAAAGACTTAAAAAGGTAGCAAATGAGAAAGACATTTTAAGTAAAAAAAAATGGCATATTTGCTTTAAAGCCCTTTAACCAATAAAAATTATACAAAACACAAGAAAATGTTGTGAGGGTATTATTATAACTGAACTGCAAAGAATTAAACTTTATTTTTAAAATAGTATATGGAGGCCCTGGGAGTGTAGCTAAGAGTATAGCATTTGCTTGGTACATGCAACGCCACGGGTTTGATCCCCAGTACTGAGAGAAAAAAAAAAGACAAAACTCATATGAAAGAAAGTCTTTTCCTGATTCCTAGTTCAAATGTTTGACAATATTCTAAATAAAATTAGTCAATTGATTATCCTTCATCTTTTTCATCATTTGTCATAATCCAATGGCTCTGTCAATAGGAAAAAGAAACCACTGTTAACAGGAAATCTAACTTAAATATACAATATTCAAAATGAATTAATTTCAAATGGATATAGGGAGTGTAAAAATAGCAACTGAAGGTAAGCTGCTACTGACAACTTCCAAGGCTAACTTCTTGTCTAGCAATGAAGGGTTGAGGTTCCTTTCAATGAATATACACTGAATTATTATAATCCAAATTAACTTATCCAAGGGGTTCTTCTGTTACCCAGTTTTCTTTCATGTGGTGAATATAAATTGAATTATCACGCTCAAATAGTTCCTGGATATAGAACATTAAAGATACAGACAATGACTTAGCAGTCTACCATCATTTTATATACAATTGATAACTTCTTAAAAATTGCTATGTTTTATTCCAAAACAACTAGCATTACATTCCTGGAAAAGAAACTTGACAGTGAGTAACATATGTTAATAAATTTAGTGCCACCACAAATAAGACAACAGCAGAGAGCAAGTTTCTTATCTTCAAGGAGTATACACCAATGGCAACACCAATCTTATAATCCCAATTTGTCACTCCAGAACAACTGAATAGGATGTCAATGCCATTTCCACTGTTTTTTCATTCAAGGCAGCTGATGGTTAAAGTGCCTGTAACGCACATAAATTATTTGTATCCTATGACTTTATTGTATGGTAGAAAGGTGGAATAGCAGAAGAAAAAGAGGCAGGACAAAAGACTTTGAAGTTTTCTTTCTCTAGACGTACGTAGAGGCCATTACATTGTGAGTAGAATTCTGTAAAAATAAACCCATTTGATAAATTTAGGTCTAGAGAGACAAATGCAAAACTTCTAAACAAACTTTATTACTGCATGATCACAAAAAAATTGAAGTTTCACTAAGTTTGCAAGTTTTATTGTAATTATTTAGAATATCATCTACCATAAAACATTAGCATAATTTTATCAAGTATGATGTCTGAATGAAAATATATTAGAATTCATTTCTTTTTAAAGAAAAAGTTTAAAATGTAACTAGTAGAGAAGACTGCACAGTTGTGTTGGGTATAAACATCCTCAGTAAATATTAGAATTATAATTACTTCAAACTATTTTTTAAAAAGCAAAATGAAGGCTAAGGAACTCCACATACATTAAAACTATAATTGAGCAATTATTTCTTCCAATGCTTAGTAACTTTTCTAAAATGATTGGAATGAAGAAAGGTTACCATTCTGCCAGATTTACTGTTTTAAATGGATCTTTAAGGTAAAAAATAGATCATGTGTCCAATTCATAGATATTTTGCAAGAGTTTAGAGTCATAAATCACAAGGATTGCGAAGGGTCTTAGAGACTCCAGGCATGTAGGAAACAAGAAAAATTGGGATGGTTTTCCTATGTGCAAGGTCTCTCCATGAACCAGTATCATCACAACCTGCTTTTTAGGATTGTACTATACTGTTCCTGAGAGACTCTGGCAGAGAAGAGGAATAGCTCTAGCAGCAATGGCAATTCTAGATATCACACTGACCACATTAGAGGGCAGACACTATTATATAAAACATTGGCTAATTGGAAAGCTGAGACAGGAGGATCACGAGTTCAAAACCAGCCTCAGCATTGGTGATGTGCTAAGCAACTCAGTGAGACCCTGTCTCTCAATAAAATACAAAATAGGACTAGGGATGTGGTTCAGTAGCCAAATGTCCATGCCCCTGGGTACACTGGTACCCCCCAAAACAAACAAACAAATAACACTGGCTGGCTTTGAACTTCCTCAGTTAATTACAAAACCCAGAAATATAGCTTGTAGTTTTAATGGATTTGGTTTCTGTGGGTTTTCATAAATTATTTCCCCCAAAGGCCATATCTATAAATGAAAATGTCATGTGAACACTGGTGCCAAAAAAGGAGAAGATCCAGATCACGAAGCACTAAAAATGTTCACTGCTAATCCTATCTAGTCATACTAATTATCATGACCAGAATGATATTGGAACATTTTATGGTTTTAAAATAACTTTTTACACATGGAAGATGTAGAAAAATTTATAAATATAAATAAACACCTTTAAAAGCACCAAAGTTATATTTGGCTTGTGTTAAAGATAATTCTGCATTTTTGTATACTTGTATATATCTGTTCTTTAAAGAAATAAGCAAAACAAAGCAACAAAGCTTTCCTTGAAATGTGTTTAACTCCTTCCTTTCTCATTTATTGCTGGAGTACTGTTATTAATGATGTATGATCTGAGCAGTACTTCTCTTTTTAGTTTGCTTTCTCAAAAATATTTTCCCTATAGTAGAGAAGAGGTGGTAGTTTTGCTTAGACTGAACTGGGTACAGCCAGGGAAGTAACTTTACATTTCTACTCCTTCCAGTTCCCACCCTGTCACACGCAGGCTGCTTGTACCCAGCTCACAGATAAGGAATGGAAATTTTACAATAAATGATAATGGCTTAACAATAGCGTTTTTTTCCCTTCAAATTCTTCAGTAAAAGCAAACAATTACTGATTATAATGCTACTAAGGGAAATCCTTAAATACATATTTTATTAGAAACATGCTTAGAATGCCAGACTTCACAGAATCAGACAAGTGTCAGTATATCAAGATCAGTAATAAATTCTAAGGCTGTGTAAGTTAAACAGAAAAAGGTTTATCTAAATGCTTTTAAACAAAAGAGAAAAAGATTAAAACAATTATTAAAATTACTATAGACAAGCCAAATAGAAAATTTTACAAGTTGAATATTTAACATATACATAATTATCCAATAATTATGAACAAGGGATAAAATAATAACACAGTTCAGTTTTTAACATGCAGATGAGGAGTGATCTGCAGATTATAAAATATCTTAGCTCTTTACATTCACCTTTGTTCTGCCTATAATGAATGCTAGAGGATATTTTTGGTTCAGCCAGACGGCAATCAAGTTTTTTAAAGGAACAGTATATACATGAAATTCAGAAGCTATTTCTCAGATTCATGCCTTAAAGTTATTACATTGAAAGGAACAATCAGGATATAGTCAAGCAGAGTAGTAAACTGCTAATAAAAATTTAGAATACAAATTTTGTACTTGGTACCAAAGCAGCAGCAGACTCTTTACTCACTTAATACAGTTTACTTCTCCTGATGAAGAGCTTCAATGAAAGCGTCAAGTTTTTCTTGAATTTCTCTAACTTTCTCTATGGAGATAAAATGAGATAATGAATGAGTTAGCTAAATAAAAACAAATTTATTTTTTAAAGCATTGCAAACCACAGGAGATAATCACTTACTAAAAGGTCTAATACACTTATTTAACTATCTGAAGAATAAGGAAAAAGTTAGAGCCCCACTACCATACCATCTGAGGTCTACATAATGTTTTTTGAAAGAGGGAGGACAAGATGTGTGTGCTTTGGAATCTATTAAAAGTTAGAGATTCTTACAGAGAATGCACATATAGAATAGATGTACCATTCTGTATATAATTTTAGTAAGTTCTCAGATTCTTTGAAGCCCAAGCAAGGACTCAGCAAATCTAAAACAAAAAAATTTAGCAAGACCATTTTAAAAACTGAAAAAAAAGGGGGGGGGACCAAAAAAGAACCAAAAAATATATTTTTAAAAAATGAAAATACAGATGGATTTCTAACTGTTATTAGACTAGGAAATGACTGTTTAAGTATAAAGTAATAGGAGAAATAACAAAGGAAAGATCAACCATTCTGATCACATAGAAATGTATGCTTTCACTTCTAAATATCACAAGACTAAAAGGCAAAGAAAACAGTGGGAAATATTCACAACATACAGAGAAAGGTGATAACACTTTAAAAATACACACAAAAAAGTACTTTTCCAGTTGTAAATGAAAAAAGTTTAAAAACACCAGAGCCAGTAAAGGCAGATTTACAGTATTTACTTGATATGAGTTTTTCAGGTTTATAGACTTCCAAATAAAATCTTGGAAATGTACATTTTTCTCTACAAAGGTGAACAATCTGCAGTATATAATGATCTCTTACTGAAAGTGGAAAAGTCATGATTCATATTACTGACAAATTAATCCTGCATCTCCTATATTATGGTTTACACTAAGCATGATTACAAACAGTTTTGTAATATAACTTAACATATTATGGAAATTATCAGATAAAGTGAGCTGACTGGTTCAAAGCTAATGATCTACAGGTAAAACTGGCAAGCATTCTACTTGTTTCCACAGAAAAATCATAGACGATACAGTTCATATTCAGCATTTATATTTGAAAGAAAATAATCTGCAATTAAAGATACAAGTGACTTTTTTAACAGCAAGGGGCATTAGTGATGAGTACCCAATAAAAGAAAGAACTGTTCTTTTTGTAGATTCTTAGCATCGCATACAATCAACAAAGCATTCTATGGCTGTGTATTAAGACCGCAATATCACAATCTTTTTCTGGCAATTTAGTATTTCTAACTTTTGATTAAATTAAGATTAATATAAAACCTATGGGGAAGAAGGGTCTCCTGTTTTAATCACAGTATTTGTTGAGCATATATGATAATAGTTATCACAATGGTGATGTTACTTCCTTATAGACAAGATTAAACTAGAGGACTGTAGAGAAAAATAATCCCAACCTATGTCTTAGTTTAGTCCATATATTTTCATAGGCTGGTTTTCATTTCTTAATAGCAGTCAAACTAGTAAACATACGTACCTTCCCAAAATAAGGCTACATTGTTAGTTTTAAAAATTATTCCGTCTAGTTGCTTAGAAACAGTCAAGTCTGTTTTTTGCAATGAGTAGAAACGTTTCCCAAAAGTACAATTTATCAGTTAAAGGATTTTTTTTAAAGGGTGTACAGGAGAAGGATAAAGTTTTCTAAACTGTCTCACAGAATTCTGGAAATGGACAGTCTTTAAAAACTTGAATAGCACAACATACAGAAAGCTCAGAGGCATTTAGAGGCTCAGTAGTGCCTCTGAATGCTTCCATGATAAATACTTCTACTTGGGCATACCGTACCTTATAAAAAGATTTGATAACATGATTTGAGAGCAATCAGGCAGCTAGCCACACTTTTACCCTATTAATGACTTCTACCCTCAGCTGGACAAAATATCTGTAGGCATGAGGTACAGTGGTATCACTTAAAAGAACTATTTAACATGAAAACCACAGAATTAAAAAAAAAAACCTGTCAAATTTCCCTTAAGAAGTTATACTTTTATTAAAAAAATTTATAATTAGACTATCAGGACACAGTACCACCATGCCTTGAAACCTCAAGAATGACACAAAGGGAACTTAAGTGGGGAGCAATTGGGATGGGTGTCATGAACAGAGGAGAAGCTTACAAGAAAAAAATATCAGTTGTCACAGATGTATTCTTTTAATGCTAACTAAAAAAAAAAAAAAAAATCACTTATTTGTCATTTTTTCACCTGCCCAATGCACTTACGGTACACGAAGATATCCTTTCTTTGGGAAGCATTCCTTGGTTACTCCTTCACTCAAAATCTATGAAGTATCTACTATGTCTGTGGTAATTTCAAATGTGACATTTCAGTTGCAAGTGGTGGCACACACTTATAATTGTAGTGACCTGGGAGGCTGAGACAGGAGGATCACAAGTTTGAGATCAGCCTCAGCAAAATTTAGTGAGACCCACAGAAACTTAGAGAGACTCTGTTTCAAAATTTAAAATAATTAAAAAAAAAAAAAGACTGAGGTTGTAGCTTAGTGGTAAAGTGTCCTTGGTTCAATCCTTAGGGCAAAAAGAAAAAAGAAAAAGAAATTTCATTTGGTCCTCATTCAATCCTGTAGGTGTAACTACTAAAGATGTGGATGTTAAAGCTTGAAGAGTTAGCTCTGTGTTTCTATAATTCAAATGTAGTATGATTCAGTATCATAAACTGAACATCAATAGTAATAATGCAAATACTATTATTTTAAGTCTATTTGTTACAAATACTACCTTTAATGTGAAATAAGATATATTTCAGTTAAAATCAGGAATATGAATATAAATCAGATCAAGTGTTTATAAAGCAAATTAAAATTTTATAATTACAGAATTCTGATAGAATTTGTGATTTATTTGATAAATGAAACCAACTCAGGAAGGGATTAACAAACTACTATTTCTGTTACACAATTCTAAATGAAGTGAATATGGAGTCTACTTTCCATTTTACCCAATGTTTACTTAAAAGATGAGCTATTTCAAACATCAATTCATTGTGCTTCTTGATTGAGTCATGAATATTCCCATAATCCCCAACTCATAAACCGCCAGTCTCAGTGAATGAAGTTCCTTCTTTTTTCTTCTCTTTAGATGACTTGACACCCATTCACGTTTTGGGTCTCTTTATCTCCACATGAAATGATACTGCTACTCTCATTTTCTTTTTGAGTCTTCTGATACTTGCTCTAAAAGTCTCAAATATAGACTAATCTGTAATTAGGTTTTGAATACACTGTGAATGCCAAAGGCCAAACCCAGGAGAAGGTTCACTTCAGTGGTTAATACCAGTTTAGAACAGGAACAAAGAGCTACACACAAAACACTACCACATGCACTGAAATAAACCTTTTACAACTTTTTGATGTTTTTAAAGAAAGCATGAAGAAACAAGCTGCAAGCTTACTACTGCAGGGTACTTTAAGCAAACCACACATCCAAAGATCCAAATGTCCTCAACAGAACTGTTTTATAACATGCTGCATAAGCATTTTGTACCATGCTTTAAGATAACTCGTAGGTGAGATTCTGTTATAAAGAGCTGTTCACTGATAGACTGAAAATTAAAGAACACTTCTTACTAGTATATGTTGTTCCTTAAAAGATTTGCCTTTTATTAGACAATTATACTATGCAAGTACCTTTTAGAAGAAAGAATATAAAATGTGGGGAAACATAGGGAAAAAAAAGAGTAAAAACAGATTCAAAATAATGAAGATGACAGTTAAAATCTTTGATTAGACAAAGGCAAAAAAAGTGCACTTTATAGCTGATAAAAGGAAGACCCAGAGATACAGTCAAATGGGTACACCTCAATCTAGCATTTATCTTCTGAGTCTTGAACACTGTTTTTTTCCCTTAGAAACAGGCAGGATTATTTTTAAAGACTCATTAATGAAGACAAACAGAATATTACCTCTTGTTATATGAGGAGGAGGCACCAATTCATATCTCCTGAAAACCTAGTTAAGACTGGCATAGACTTCCAAAGCTGGGGTCCTAGACTTCTGGGATCTGTGAAGGCTGGGTTATTTCCATTATTTCAAAAATTCAAATGGAAATTTTTGTTTGGGCTAGAATTACATCCACTTTCTTCATGACTGTTTATTTAGGTTGATTGGGAACTACAATTGATAGCTCCATGTTTCTAATTTAAAAGCGTGTAAGTATATTATTGTAGACAAAATCTTCTAAGACTCGACTTCACAAACAGCAATGAAAGGTTTGATGACCTCCCCCCCTTTAAATCCCTGTTCTAATCCTCTGATTATCAATGGGGGAATATTTTATATCATTTTTAGAAAGGAGAGAACATAATGTGATGTATATCACCTCATAGCTTATACTACAATGTGGAATTTTGCCATTACCCTTACAACTGTGGAGAAGTCATAGTCCTAGTTCTAATTGATCACATGCCTATAATTATATCTTTTAAAATTTCTCTTTCTGTTTACTCCTTGGTGTCTATTTATTTGATGTTAACATTCTGGAAAAAAATGTAATCATAAACTGCAACATATTTTCACAAAGCTATGATTCATCTTGGAAAGATCAATTTTATAAAAGTTTTTCTCATGAATCAATGTGGGGAACAGCAGGGACTGCTTTTATGAATTCCCTACTTAAAATCATTGAGCCTAGTACAATACTTGCTCTGTAATAGATGTCCATGAATATTCATTCAGTGTTCAGAGTTGAGTGAACCAACTTAACCATAACTTAATTCAAACAGTAAAGATAATTATTAAAATATTTGCTATTTTATGACGCCTAAACCATATGATTTTGAAAGAAAGTTTGTCTTAAGAAAGTCCGTGAGGTAAATTACAACTTATGTTTGAGCCAGGCTCATTTTGGCTAATATGATCAAAACCTCTTCAAATACTTTCTCCATATTTTGAAACCTATTCTCCAAAAGACTTCAGTATGAGTACACACAGATTAGCCTTGTATCCATGTTTTTA